AGACTGTGAGGAGGAAGGAGCGGCAGACTGACTGCAGCCCCCGCACTCCCTGGCCCCCCTGTGCTGCTGGGGGAAGGGGGAGAAGGTACAGAACAAAGCCTTTGGGCTTTGGCAAGAAGGGAGGGGTGGGAGAGAAGTGCCTTTTTGTAAGACATGGTTTCTCTCTCTCAGTATCTTGCTTCTTGTTGTAAATAGTTAATAAATTCAATTCTTTTTCTTGTTCTTCCCAAGTCGTGTCCGTTTCTTGCCCGTGACCCTAACTGGTGAGTGAGACCCTCCCTGTCCCTGCCTCAGCCCACCAGGTGTTTAGCAAAGAACAGTCCCTGTGGTTTTATAAACCACGACACTTACCCCCCTATGAGCCAGGTGAACTCCATCTGTCGCTAGCAGGCCTGGTGCCACATAAGCCTCCCCATGATCAAAAAAGACAAAATTGCACCTCTGGCATCAGCCTCTGAGCCAGGTGACATGACATACTCTTTCAATTTACATGGTCAGGATGGTACAGTTTGTCTCTCCTTTTGTTTAGGCAGAACATTGGAGTATATCACCCCTACAGAGATGGAAAACTCCCACTTGAACAAGCACATCTGTGTGGCACTGCATTTTTCCTGAAATAGTATTTTATTTGCCCCATGAACTTTTCACATAGACACTTATTCTGAGAAAAATAATTTATTCTATTACATACAAGTATCTTACCAGTTCTAGACCTCATTCCATTGCATTAATGCAAATCTTAAGGAAATAAAGAAAACCACATTGCTAAGATTTCTTAAGACAAGAAAGGAGAGGTAAGAGGAAGGGGTTTGCCTTTACACTTTAAACAACACAACCAAAATTAAGAATTTCTTTGTTTAAATATGATATTTCCTCCTATAGAGTACTCTGCAAACAGAGGCAGCTCAGGTAGATTTAGTACTATTGCTAGATTATGATACCAAACTGTAAAAACATGCAAGAATAAAATTAGTTCTAAATTCCAATTCTCTACCAGAGAGAAAATACGGCCTATGTAAATGCCCCAATAACTCTCAGAAATACAGGAACATGAAACCACAAATTAAAAAGTACTTACTGCAGTCACTAATTTGATGGCACATAACTGTAGCTCACTGACGTTTTCTACAAAGAAAGGTGTTATTCCCATAGATGATACCTGTCAACGGAAATAAATTATTGTAAGTATATTTGACTAACAAACTGACACTCATGCAGTTTCACAAGTAGGTTATTCATTCAGAAGGTAAGGTATTCAACAAGATGTATTACTTCATATTATTAGTAAATAATGTTATTAAAGGATATTAGAGAATAAGTCTGTTGTGGGTGCACCAACTACGTTCTCCCTTACCCCCTCCCCTCCCTGTGAGATGCGGGGAAAGAACCGAAAATTTACAGTGACCTGTGGATGAGTCAACCTTACTGAGAGGATCATACTTTACATACTCTCTGGGAAAATAAAAAGAAACATTCTCGGACAGAAATTCTTCTGATAAAATTTACCTGAAGAATTGTTGTATCCGTAAGAAGCTGTATCTCTAGCAACTCTGACAAGCTGCTGACAATGTCACAAACTTTGTTATACAACATCACTATAACTCTTTGCTTGTGGGTGGAACACTTGGCACGTTTTGCTTTTGAACTTAAAACACCACCTAGAAAATAAAAGTTATTGTTAATTTTTTCAGTGTTTCACATCAAATATCAGAATCATGATCTTCCTCAAAAAATGTCCCCAAAACTACTGCAGGACCACAGCTTTGTAAAAGCAATGGCTTAGAGAAGAAAACTACTTAGTAGCATCAACAGCAAAGTAAGAATTTCACATTATATTAATGTTTCATAATTGTTCTAAATTCTGCATCCAAGATTTTTAAAATGTTTCTTGAAGTTGGACACCTGCATCTAAAGTAATGCATGTGACAACAAAATGTTAAATGCTAAATAGTTTTCACTGAAATAAATTGTTGTATACACAGATTATGACTATAAAATGACTTATTCCTATACACGGAAGCTGAACTTCAGACAAACTTCTTAACACTTTAGTCTAAATACTTTGGTTACATTGACATCATTGCAGTAAACCAAGATGCCGTATGACAAAGATATTCAGAGGATGCATTTCATTGTTTTTTTTTTTTACTCTACACTTTTTCATGCTCAAACTAACACAAAGCATTAATTCAGGATGCTGTATGTGATATGGAAGAACTACCAGTATAAGGCTTGCGCATAAAAAACTTACTCCAGAAAGTCATATCACTTGCATCCTCATACAGTAGATTATGTTTTGATACTTTTTAATGTGGAAAGATTTTTAAAAATTTCTTAGCATACTAACCACCATGAGGATCCACTCGATACACAGGATCATACTGAGGATACAGAGTGTTCTGCAAATGAAATTTTGTGTATTGAATAACTCTTTCTATTACATCCTCAATATATACAGCTTTAGGCATATTTGGTGATGTCATAATATTGATAGCTGTAAGACAAGCATCAGCAGACTTTGTCACTCTAAAGATCTCTCCATAATCTCTCCTCATCTTCAGTGTCATTGTTCTATAACAGGCAAGAAAAACAGGAAAGTGTGAACAAGAAGTAAAATTTTTATCCTTACCAAGTAAAAGATAATACTATTATCTTAATATACTTACATACAGACACATATAAAATGGTGTATTTCCTTTTTGATACAAAAATAGTTTGGTTTAGAAATCAATTATTGTTTTACTAGCAACATGTTTGTAATATGTCTCCCTAAGTTACAAGTCTTCAAAGTCTCCCTGTATTCTTCTGCTAGAACACAAATAAGCTTTATATGTGTCATCGAGAAGCACTATGAGGAAAGATTGCCACATACTAAAGACTGATGTACCTCAAGGAAAATCTAAACTAATTCATCAAGTGTTTTCTTCAGTGTCCTATGCACACCAGTTGCTGCTTCAATCAGTCTAGTTTTTGCCTCTTACACAAAAACACTGTTACAAGTCATATGCAACTTGTAAGTATAGAACTTTCTCTGCTTCATAAACCAACCCATGTATGATCAACGCGTTTAAAACATGTCTTATCAAATATATCCATTTACATTTAGCACATGCTACAGAATCTCTGTATTTCTGTGCTTGTACAAGTTATAAAAACAAACATACATGAACAAATACACGAGGCTAATTATGACCACCCAGCACTAGTTAAATATTGTAGTAACATTATTTATAGCAAAACCAGTTATAACTTTCCATAGCTTCTCTGGTACAGATATAGCCTACAGAGACAAATAATCTTTCCTGCCTCTATGACACCATAGTTCAACACTGTTGGCTTTTCTAGTGAAAATAAGGGGTTGGCAAAACCATATTAACTTTTTGGTACGAGTATCTAAACCAATATCACAGTGCATTGTGTATATGGAATATATATTTGTAAAATCAAATATAAAATTTGTAAATCAGGAGATCCCTGCAAATTTCTTGCATAGAAGGGCTTTAAGTCATTTGCTCTTTACAGAAACCAGGCTTAAAAAGTTGCTTGTTAATCTTGGAAATAAAAAGAATATGCAAGTGCACTCTGCCTCTCAAAAACATCCTGAAATGGAGGCAGGATATCTTGACAGCACTGTAGAAGAAGTAAGCTTACTCCTTAGCAGTGGCTTTCTTTGCCATATTGATTTGAATCATGTTTAACAGGTTTTAAGAAAAAAATCTAAAACTTGATTGGCTAAAGATTGTTTCTTTTTTTAATCAAAGCTTTGTCTCTGAATTGCAATCACTGGACAATTTCATGAACTGTTTAATGATCTTGAGTTTTACTACAAAAAGCTAAAAGAAAAATAGCAGTTTAAAAGCATTAGCATAAAGACTTAATCACAGTGAAGTAGAGCAGGTAAACCAGCAACTTATTTTCACTTATTTTTCATACTGCTAAAGACATTCAGAACTGTAGACTGCAACTTTGAAAAGCCTACCAACCATCTAGGTGAAAATATTTAGGTACAAATAATGTGGCTCTGGCTTTCATTTGCAAGTTCAAATTCTTCCTTTCCAATATAAATAATTACTTTCTATTTCTGCAGGTCAAGAGGTTTTTGTCCATAAAACTCAAGAACTCTATTCCTGCTAGAATATTGTCCTGACTAGAAAGTGCAGAAATAAATATATACAATGTGAACTACCACATATCAACCTCATAAAAGCTCCAAATCCCCATTTAGTTTTAGGTATATCAGGAAAAAAGAAAAACCTAAAATCTTAAACTTCCTGTTAATTTTGTTTACATTGACAACTTTAACTATGCAGTGTAAGAAAAGGCCTAAACAAAGCACTTCCTCCTTTCTTAATGCTCAGGGGAAGAATATGCTCTGCGTGAAAGCTGTAGTACTTCTTTCATTGTGTAAGGGATGTCTTATGAACAGGTAGCAAAGCAGCAAAGAAATGTCCAATGGTGCAAATTACACCAGTTACAATGAATATTTCAGGATGGAACTACAAAATTGAAACAAAAGAAAACTCAGTTGCTCCCAATACACTTGTTAGTTATCAGTAAAATATGTTTAGTACTGAAAAAATATAATAAATTGAATTTTACTTCAAATCTTTAACTTTGTCAATCTGAATCATATTCATATATCAGAAATTCCTTTCACACACGTACACAGTATTTGAACCTATCACTAAGCAGCACTGAAGTGAAGAAAACTCTGTTCTACACAATGTTGTGAAATTACGTATATTTGAAACTCACGTGGTTCAGTAACGTAGAAAGCTTTGATCCATCTTGAATATTCTTTTCCAAAATATTCAAAACTTTTACTGTTTTATCTGTTGAGAGCTAAAACAAGAAAAGAAACACATCAAACACCTGCAGAAACATCAAGGCTTCCAAATTCCTTAAAGGAATGCCCATGAATGAAGGACAGAACTTGTTAAATACTCTGAAACAAACTGTAAGCAATTTGAGATAAGGATCAGATCTTGACTTTCACGGTTTCTGACATAACATGATTGAGAACGCCGATAATAATATAACTAAACTAGGTAAAGTATATTCTAGGATTGCAATCAAACTGTATTTTCAAACAGCAAACTCCATAGAAATAGATTGAAAACTGCATTATCTGTCATTAACGTTGCATGTTTATACACTTTTGCTTCTAGAAACAGCAATCTACCAAATCTAAGTATCGATCACAAATTCTAACTGTCCCTACAGAGCTCTATTAGAGAAAATGCTAATTCCATGAAGAAGCAGAAATAAAATGCCCTGATACTTGAGTGCTAATAAAAAGGAAATGTATTCTTAATATCAGTGTTAACTTTGAAGAACTAGCATGTTGAAAAAAGTAACCCAATGTCACTTACTGATTTTCTACAGAATTATCATTAAATAATTTTAGAACACGCTAAACTGAAGGAGAGACAGTTTCACTCATCCAGATACTATTGACACTCATCTTTAGAAGCAACAAAATTATGACTTTATGTATACATGTACGTACGTATGTATGTATGTATGTGTGAAAAATACGGAACAGAGGTTAAGGGTGAGAACTATCAGGAAAGAAAAATACTGAGGCTGACAACACACTACAAAGGAAGGTAGGGAGATTGAAGAAAAGTTCAGGAGGAATATCTAAATTTTGGATTAAAGACAACACTTCGGAGTGACTTTTGTAATAAGTGGCTTCACAGACACTTCATAAGCATAGTAAGTGGTCATGAACAGGCAGAGTAAGAGTTCATTGTAAGACCGCCTAAAGCCAAGAGTTCCAGGAAGATAACGAAAGCAAGGACATTGTTTCTAGAGGTGTGATACCAACAGTTAGCACCAACAAAAAGATCCCTTGCACTGAAGTTGGGAAGAGTACAGCAAAGAAACCACAATATGCAGCCTACAGAAAATTAATCTTATTATCACCTGGGGTGTTCAATCTTGTAAGTTTGAGAAGCCTTTCTGGAGAGATGGAGGAAGAAGGCAATTCAGTGTGATGCTGGCTGGACATCACACATTTATATTGCATTGATGGCATATATCAGAAAAGGCCGATTATTTTATTCTGATTTACTGTGGTTGCTCAACACCAGCTATAAGGAGCAAAGCCTATATAGGTTGACATGAGTTTGTGAAAGTAGACTAATTATTTCAGAATTTACTGCTCAGGCATAGGTATTACAGATTGGCATATATTCAGCATTGACACAGAGAAGGACCATTCAACAAAAATGTCTCAGCTTCAGATATAGTAACAGTTAGGATGTGGTAACTTTTTTAAGCACTTCAGCTATATCAGCATAAGCACAACTGTTCACAGTATCTGTCACATGCTCACCTGAAGAGGGTGGAATGTTATTTTAGGGGACATAAGTTTTTATATGTTTATCAAAATTACATGTTCAAAAAGAATCAAAGACTATGAAGATGTACCTTGTCCATAATGCCCATTGCCTTGATTTTTGCAGATTCACTGCCCAGCTCACTAAGCTGATGTTTTCCCAGCAGCAATTCCTGGGGAATCTCATCATCATCACCTTTAGAAAAAATTTTTAAATTAACAATCATATTTTTTAATAGACTTCAAGGAAATCAGTATTTTACAGCCCATATGAAAAAGTCAACTGAAGAAAAAGAACTGATTTTCCAAATAGTTAGCATCTAATAGTTCCATCTAATGAAGACTGATGATGAAGACTGGTGATGACAACTTTTGGTTGTGTTAAAACAAGGACTACTTGTTAATTATGACTGGTTTTGAAATATCATTTAACAGCCTAACATGAGGCATCCATTCCTGAAAGTTATGAGCTAAAAATTTTTAATATAGCAAAACCCATTTATTGCAGCTCTTGTGCCAGCACCCTCATTTCAGAAAACAAACCTTAAATTACTGTAGTCTTAATTATAAAGTTCAAATCTGCAGAAGGGCAACAGATGAAAAACACTTACGAAATTAAGTACCTTGGGAATACACTGTGTCTTAACTGTATTTACCCTTACAAAAAAAACTTAATGATATCAGACATAGAAAGAACCAATGACTTTGGTTCAAGGTTTGGTTCAGTCCAAGGTTGTACACACTACTCCTTTAAAAACTGTAGTGATTTGTTTACCATGTTCCTCCTCTTGTTCTAATCCTGTGACAGAAATGGTAGGGAAAAAAGTAACGAATACTCTTATTATCGATTTCAATAGACAGCCACCTCGGTCAACCTGGACTACTTCCTCAGACACTTATGCTAAGCTGGGTGGTTTTCCACTAAAACAGATAAATAGCACACAGTGATTTTGTGCCTCAGCCACAAATGCTGAAGGACTCTGCTGCTTGAATTGAATAATCAAGCTCTGTTGGGTCAAAGGCCACAACAGATGCTAAATTATGTGCTTCAGACATTACTAGAGAACCACCTTATTAGTGTTGTTTACAAAGATATGTTTGACAGAAGATAACACCCTAATGACATCCCAAAGAAGTATCCTTTCCATTCCAGGGGACTACTATTTGTCTCATTATGATTTATGTTCCTTTTGGATTCTGCAGGGAGGAGAGAGAAGGATCTTCTTTCTGCAGCAGCAAGTGAAATTGGAAAGGTAAAGGTCACCACTCAAGGTGGAAGACATAAATGCAGTATGCCCTAGCATGTATCACAGGCAATTAAATTACCAAGGAGGAAGTTCGAAAACACTGCAATACAATTTTTTTTGGTGTTTCTTGTATTTCTAATTGGAGAAAGCATTTTGAAAATTTCTGACATATTACCAAAAGCTGTAAAATCCATGTCTTCCAAGTTTTCCAAAATATTCTCTATTGAAGCAATAAACCTTTTGAAAGTTGAAGAATCCAGCATTTCTGGTGAAAAAAGAAATTTATAAATAATTATTTTATATAAAAAAACAAAAAATAAAAACAGTAGGAAATTAATCTTCTAAAATTACCTTCAGGTGTTAGTTTAGGTTCATAAGCTTTCCTCTTCTTTTGTTTTTCTTTTTTCTTCATTTTCCTAGCCACTAATCAAGAGAATAAAGAGTGAAAGAAATACTTTCTCAAAAATGAAATAAAGAATTATTTACATTTCTTACACTTGTATTCAATACTGCATGTAAAGATATTTATTATAAAATGTTTACCATATCCATTAAAAATGCAATAGTATTACAGAATAAAACTGAATTTTTAAAATGATCAGTTACCCTCACTGAGGCTAGGGGGTGGAGAATAATCATCCACATCAGAGTCATCAGGACTGCGATTACGGTAACGGCCACTACTAGAAGTCCTCCTTCCTTCATGATAATGACCGCTTCTCCTATGGTCACCAGAACTTCTTCTGTCGTGTTCTTCATACTCCCAAGCTTCATCTCTATCCTTTTTATGTCTTTTACGAGAAGCTAGAAATGCAATGCATTTTCATTTTAAGTTCTAAAATTCTACTTTTAATAGCATTTTTAAACATTTAAAAGAAGTGTAGATGTGGTACTTACGGACGTGGTTTAGTGGTGGACTTGGCAGTGTTAGGGTCTATTGCAGGCTAAATGATTCTACAATTCTATGATTTGCAAGTTAAACACTACTATATAGCTGTTCTGTAAAGCAAGTGGACACTCTAAAACTATTATATAAAATCCTGTTATGCCATTTTTCTAACAATTTCATAGAATCATAGAATCATAGAATCATAGAATCATAGAATGGCCTGGGTTGAAAAGGACCTTAAAGACCATCTAGTTTCAACACCCCTGTGCTGTGGGCAGGGTTGCCAACCACTAGAGCAGGCTGCCCAGGGCCCCATCCAGCCTGGCCTTGAATGCCTCCAGGGGTGAGGCAATTTCTTTTGAATTACATGGAAACTGTGCCTGAAACTGGCAAAGACACCAGCAAACATTTAGAAATACAAGTTTACAGGGTATTTGAACTTTTAAGCAAAGTAAGGAAAGTGGAACAAATCAAAATAAGTTTAATCCTTTCATAAGAGAATATTGAGATAATTTCTTCAATTACCTAAACTGCAACTATTACTGAGTGTCCATATTCCAGTTCAGTGATTGCTTTGGCCACCTAACAGAGCAAGTCCAGTGAGACTTGTCAATCTAGTTAAAGATATTCTGTTTTGCCAGAAAATTCCATGTAAAGGAGAAAGCTGGAGTCACAATTCTGGGCCAGACAAGCAACCACAGAAGGTTATTATAAGGGTGCTAAGACGTAACAGAAAAAGGGGTTGCTTCATCTGTGAAATCAGCCAACTCTCTATTATCTACTGTAACAGGATAACTAGGCTAGCAAACAGATGTCTAGCACTGACTGTGCTGTGAAGATCAAAACAGCTCCAAAACATCACATTCAAGACTCCCAGAGTCTATGCTTGTGAACCTGCATGTTAACAGCCCTGATACGTGTGTCTCTCTACCAAAGTTTCCTGAAGTTTAGAGAGGTATGACTGTATATAGGGTTGTTTCTGAGCCAAATGCCTCCAAATATTTATACAGAACTGGAACCAAACTGACAAGGTCTTCCCACAACCCCATATTATTTAGAAGCATAGGAAACATACCAGGGTATAGTCACACCTGGTATATGTACCAGGATATATTCAATACCTATAGATACATGGCTCAGAATTAATAAAAAAACCATTAAACTTGAGGCAATACTAATGCTCTGCACTGCATGCTAGAGGGCTCTTGCTTCTGAAAATGTACTCCAAAACTTCTGCACAGAGGTGGGCCAAGTCTTCAAGCTAATAACTCATTTCAGGCTTTCAGCTGTACTACCTCTGGATCAGACTTGCTTCTGGAGGCAGTACAGTCATGTTCATGATGCCTGAGTTCACAAATCATCAGTATCAATTTAAGCTCTGTAAGACAAATTCTGTAGCTATATCTCCATGAGAAAAGTAACTTCCAATATTGCTTTCCAGCAGAATTGGAAATTGCCTATTTTATCAATGCTGCACAACAAAACAGCATGTGTTAAAGTTGTGCTGGCTCTGGAAGGCAAATAAGATGAACATGGGAACTGCTATTTACAATCACTGCTCTACAGAGTTTCATCGAATCACAGAATCGTGGAATGGTTTGGGTTGGAAGGGACATTAAAGATCATCAAGTTCCAACCCCCCTGCCATGGGCAGGGACACCCTCCACTAGACCAGGTTGCTCAAAGCCTCATCCAGCCTGGCCTTGAACACCTCCAGGGATGGAGCATCCACAGCTTCTCTGGGCAACCTGTTCCAGTGTCTCACCACCCTCACAGTGAAAAATTTATTCCTAATGTCTAGTCTAAATCTACCCCCTTTCAGCTTATACCCATTACCCCTTGTCCTCTCACTACCCCCCCAATAAAGAGTGTTTCCCCATCTCTCCTGTAGGCCCCCTTCATGTACTTGTCGCCTCGGAGCCTTCTTTTTTCCAGGGTGAACAACCCCAACTCTCTCAGCCTGTCTTCATTTTATTTTTAAGCAGAAACAAATTTACTAAAAAATTAACTAGTAATAACACTTCAATAGTTAGTATTGATTTTATATACAAATAAAGACTCTTTGGAATATAAATACCCAATTTCCTTGTGAATTCTGCCAAACATTTATGCAAATAATACAATTTAGCATTAATTGCATGAGAATTATTTCATCAATTTTTAATTTCTCATAATTAAATTTAATGGAATGACCCTTCTTCATGAGATACTCGAAGTTTCTCTTCTTCTAGAACAATCACTATTTCATATTTTTTAAAGTTCAATTTTAGACAACTCATAGAATTCTGAAATACATATTTGTAACAATAAAAATCTATTAAGTATAATTGTCATAAATCTTCCATTCTCTTGATAATTTTGTCTCCTTTTAATTCAATTAAGTTCTACAGTATCCTTTCAGAAATATTGTAATTTATTTTAAAACCAGTTTTCCCTATTGAATTGTTTAGAATGATGGCCAGATCTCAAGTGGATATAATGAATCTAGAAACCCATAAAGTGTATAATTACTGTGAAAGTTTTCCTTAATATGCTTTACTTTCTATTTAAAAACAGTCACTGTGGCTACCAGGTATATTAAGGTATTTGAAATTCTTGACTATTCTCTCCATTCTCAACCAACTTAAACATTTTGCTTTACTTATTTATTTTTTTAATTCACTGTTCCAGATTATTAACATCATAAACAGTGATATGATATGATAAACAGAGAATACAGAATCCTGAATGAAGCAAATCAACCTTAATTCTTTGCCATAATCAAGACCGATTACAAATTATCTGAACATCTCATACTCACACTCAAAGCATTACTCAGTTAAAATTAAAAAGAAAAACAAACAAAAGGACAGCCTTTTCTGCTTCTTTGACAAAGATCGGAGGTACTGCTATTATAATTTTATGTGCATGTGTGCATAAATACTGTGTATCTGTTGGACAAGAACTTGAAACATACTAAAAAGCAGAATGAACAAATCTGTCTCTTTTGGATTCTAAGAAAGACTGAAAATCAAAACATTGTGTTTTACAAAAGTTGAGTAAGATGTTCATGTAAACAAATGTGGAAAGACTCTAAATGTGTGAAAAAATTAATACAAGCAAGATGCCTTCTCAGGTTAACAGCAATATGAACTTCTCCTGTAGCCCTGCATAGATAACACAGCTAAGATGTTAACTCAGAATGAACTGATTCACTTCATTTTAATAGAGTTTCTTTCCAGTGTTGGCTAATTGAGCTACTATAGAGACAATCTAACCACCTTTTTATTAGCAAGCAGGAAATCCCTACCTAAGTTAGAGGCATATAAAAATTTTTTGACACTTAGGAACTTTATCTGACTGCACAGAAAAACTTCCTCTCTTCCTTTGAAAACAGTTAGTTCAAGGATAGTATTATCAGCAAACGGTTATTTTGAGATCTCATCAAAAGCAACTTCAGTTTTTCAAGCAATATGCCAGATAAATAATAGAAGAAAAATTTTAAGAAACTTCTGGGCAGTTATATTTTCAATTTATCATGACAAAAATTCAAGAGAGGATCCTTCACTTTTCTTATCAATAAAACTAAGAATAATTTAAAATCTGTTTACTGAAATTTTTCTTTGTATACTCCTGTATGCAAGTTTTCTGTGCTGCTTTAGAGGGTATTTTCCTTAATGTGATTGGCTAGAAATGTTTCATACCACAACTGAAAAAAAATCTAGGCAGAGGCTTCCCATAAGGTAATTAGGAAAAGAAATTTAACAAATAGCTGATTTTCTTCTTAAGTGGCAGACTGAAACAAAATAATTTTTCTTTTAGAAGGGAAAAAAAGGCTTCTTGACCAAATAGTTGTCAGGACAGCAAACTTGTTTTCGTATGTTTTAGGGCAGCCAAATTATAAAAAAACAAACCAAACTTTTTTGTAAAAGCAAAATATTCGCTTTCTTTAGCAGTAGGAACAGAACAATATACTACTTACATTCAAAAGCTTCTTCACTGTCATTGTCTTCATCAGAACTGATTTCAGCATATTTTGGTTTCTCATTAACTGTGCTACGTTTGCGCTTGTTCATTTTCACACGTTCACAAAGTGGCATGGTGGATTCAATTTCTGCCAGGAGCTCAGGAGGCAACTCCTTTAACACTGACTGATCTATGCTACCTATTAATGGAGAGTAAGAAGAGTAAATGTGAACCTGAAGATAAAAATAAGTGCCCAACAGTACAGTCCTTTCTCAAGAACTACTTACAGTATATTCACTAATAATACCACAGTTAGATATACCTGGATGCATTTGACTGCCCTTTTTAAAGCTGCATTTATTCTTCACGCTACGATCAGAAATCAACGTAACAAATTCCATACACATCTCCTCCAATCAAGCACTTTGTCAGGCACATAAACTCAAATCAGTGAATTTCCTTTATAAAAAGATATCCCTGTTCTGCTCGCACAAAATTTAGTCTTATTTCACTTCATCCTCTGCATTTAACAGGTTTTCTAACAGTGTAGGTAAACTAAGGATTCTTTGTGCCTCATTAACAGTTCTGTTTACTCTCATTCAGAATTTAGTGTACACAAGACAGTAATCTTCCCCTTTTACAGTAAGTAGGGACAATCTGTGGCAGAACCTCTGGGGACTTATCCCTAAATACAGGTCAAATCATTGACATTGCAACCTCTGCCTCAGATTTTTTTCTTACCTCCTACTGATAGTTTCATGATGCAACACAAATTTTTGCTTGATTTCATTACAAAGCAAAGTTGAAAGATTTTTATTTAAAATAGGCAAACAGCGAACCACATTAGGTTTGTTTTCTACAGTGGTAAACAGTAGACATCATCACACCAGTCTCGTTACATTCTGAAACTACAATTAGACCCATACGCAGTCAGAATGAAGGAGATTTGCAGTCAAAATTTTTACAACAGATATATGGAAACCAAATTAACTCAAAAGTATTTCTTTGGGCTTTGTTTATTTGATACCTTTATTTATCAAAGAACCTACTGCACAGACCTGAAGATTATTGGACTAAACTGTCAACCTTTTTCCAACAAGAGGACCTTTGTCATAGGTGCCTCTTTTCTCCATCCCAAGGCATACTATACTATTTAGAGACGAAATAACCTGTCAGTTGCTACACTCACACACACACCCTCTCTCTCCTCCAAAAAGTAATCTTCTGGATGATAATTCATTGTTTTAATTGCATTAATTGCATTCACTGTATCACTAACTTAACATTCTAAAATTTGTTTCAATCTACACTAATATCCTCTCTTCTAATAAAAGATTTAGTCTTTTTCTTTTTTTTTCTTTAAACATCTTTAACTGGAATTAGAAGAGCCTTAGTGTGAGAAAATTGTTTCCAGATACAAATTTTTTTAAAAGTCTCATATATTACTAGTTTCACATATATCTACATCCATAAAAACTGCCCACAAGCAATGAAACTAATGATCATAAAATTATTTTTCTATAATTCTTGAATGTGTTCAGCAAATAATCTAATTTAAGTGTATTTTAAAAAAAAAGATTTAATTTAAAATACTGGGGTTTTCAAACTGAGGCAGGGAAATATCTATAATGTAAAACTGGTTGCAAAAGTTGTCCCTGCTTCCCCCATGCTGTGGTTCCTTTTGTTAACTTGCCATCCTTAGACAATCACCACCTGCCAAAGTTACCTAAATTCTCAATATTGCTTTCAGAAATGCTAGAAAACATTTAATCGTGTGGTTGATCATGTTGCTGTGACGTGATTATTCGCTGAGGGCTGGGCACTTGATTGAAGATAGGTAGAAGGACGCCACCACGGACAGATTAGTTCACTTCCTCTGTGTGTACCACGAGTTGACTGGATTACAGCCAGCTCTAATCTGGATGCTGCAAAGCCATGCCTGAGCAGTGGCATCCTCACACCAATACTCCATGTCTTTTTGTATGCCTATACAGTCCCTGAAGAGACCTAGCTTACATCCAGCCCCAGTCTACAGGAAAATTCACATACACCAGTTTTAAGACAATTTACACCGGTGAAATCACTAGAAGGCCTCAGATCCTGGTTCTCTAACACATATTCTCAATTTTATGCACTGGTGGTAATTTCATTTAAATCAGCGGGAATACACACATAGCATAACGTCTACAGCAAATGTGGCCAAACGAAAACATTGCAAAAGCCAGCTATAAGGATAAGAACAAAGGTTACATTAAATCTCCAAACAACAAAGAAAAATCACAGGCTACTACTCTCCTGCCTCCTAGGAATACCTATTCTTGCTTTCCGTATTGAATTTGTTCCTAAGAATGCTACTCAATCATTGCAAATAAATCAATTACTATAGCATTCATGAGACAGCAATGAAAAAAATAAAAACGCAACTACTTTGAATATTTGGAAAAATAAATTTACTTCCCTCTCAAAAGTTCCAATTTTTATGTTGTCCAGTGCTGAATTCAACTAATGCTTGAACTGTATTCTCTCCTGTTACAGATATTTCAGATGACAGTATAAGCTTGCCCTTTTTTCTTTTATTAGGGAATATGTAAAGCTTTCTTTACTCAAGTAGGGAACAGCAGAAAAGAGAATGAATAGAATTATTGTAAAGTTCTCTACAAGCTATCTTTAAAGTTTTTGTTTCTGTCACAATGTTCCCCATACCAAGTCTGCCATGTGCCCGGTTTCCTTAACTGCTGAGGATTGTAAATAACCAAATATACTCATGCTGTACAAAGGAGTTAGGCATGACTGCATATGTATCTACATTTCTGATACACGTGGAAAAGGACACCCCATCCTTTCTGAAGAAATCCAGTGATATCATATTCTGTGGGACTCCAGTCAAGAGCTTGTTAATATTTATTTTACTCTGTCACTCACGTCATGCTTAGTCAGGGCATACCAATCTTCACTAGAAACATTATACTGAATTCCTTCTTTTATACACCATATTTTATAATGAAGGTACTGCTTATTTGTTCAAGGTAGTAAAGAAATATTTAGTAGAATCCAGTTCACCATAAGAATCTAGTCACATGTCAACAAACATTAGGTTATAAAACCCAATCTAATGCCTTTTCAGTTTACGGGATACTTTTCAGAAAGCAATTAAAAATATACAATACAAACCTCTTTGAAAGTATCTACAAAACCATGTTCCATCACTTTCAGTTTTTCAATTTCTTTGATAAGTTTGCTAAGACCTGGTACCTACTTTCATGTTTCCACTTCAATCAGTTACATTCACGTCTAGTTTGTACAGCTTTTTAAATAGCTAAGGAGAAAGTAACTTTACTAACAAGTTACTCCACAAGTTATTAAGAATGCCCCAGTAAATCAGCTTTCTGAAGAACCGTCCTCATCAATGGAACAACTCATTTTTTTGCAATGTGTATGATTAGTGTACAACAACATGCCCGAAATGGTCTACAGGCAACAATGTTCTTCAGATATCACTTACACGTATTCTCAAAGCTGCTGCAATTATTAAACAAAACAAGGTACTATCATAACAAAGCCTTTGTCTCACTGTAAAGAACAGCATGCTAACAAATTCCACAGTAATGAAACTGAAGAGCAAGTCACAGAATAGCTGTGAGAATAATTCACCTGAACTGCATACATGAACAGCCACTTTTTCATGCCTCTCCAAACCTATGCAATGCTTACATACTAGTAGTTGCTTGCTGGAGAAAGAACAAAGTCTTGGTTTTGTTTGATTGCCATTATCAAAAGGATTCTTAGAGAAGGTATTCAAGAATCTTCAGCTGCTATTGAATATCCACTGACCATCAAGATATCTGTTTTCTCAGCAAGCAATTCTTGAAATACAGTTCAGTTAAAGATCAGCCAGAGAATCTTAGCTAAAAATGAATTAGTCTGTAAGCCTCCTCCCATACTCTATTTTAATCTGGGAAGCTTTTCAAAAAGTTTTGGCATGTAAAGTAGAAAGAGTTCTACAAATATCTAGTGAATGTAGTATTTCACTTCTTCACATATGCCTCAAAAAAAGAATGGCAACGCACAGATCTTATTTGAAGTTCAGCACTGCTTTTTGTTCATAACCAGATGTGTAGTTTCAAGTTCATGGAAAAGCCTTTAACTTTAGCTAATCTTTACACATATCTAATCTTTACAAGGATCCAAAACCATTTTGCCTTGAATTTGCAAGCCAAATAGATCTCCCTGATCCAGGCAGATGAATGCCTTCAAGAGAGGTTGAACATAAAGAAAAAGTAACATCATTACGGACTTTTAGTGGATCCGTTCGATATGGACAGCACAACTATTTTTTTGACACAGCAATCTGTGTGTTCATATTAGTTTAATCTGGCTTGATATAACAACTTCAAACAAGCAGCAATAGAAAGGGAAATTACGCTTTCTGATGCTTCAGTCAGCTTTCCAGGATCCAGGAGGCTGCTACTGCCATAAAATCAAAACCAACACTAATAAACACTGTTATCTTCTCAGTAATGATTTATCCTTGCTTTACAAACCATGGAAAACAGAGGCATAGTTAGCTCTTTGGTGCAACTTCCTATGAACTAACAAGCCATCAAGATTCAAATACATTTAGGAACCTAACCTCCAAATTGCTACTTCCATAACTATAAGAGACAGTTAAAAGAGTGGAAACAATCCATGTCAGTTTTTTTATACGGTTACTTTTAAAATAGTTTTGACATCAAAATGACCTGTTTCCACATACATCCATTGTGACATATGAACAAGTGCTTGAAGAAAAACTGCTCCTGAAGTTAATTTCAAAACTGAGGTTTATGTTAATGAACTCCTTTGCATAAATTATCCTCCCATAAATATTTCCTTTTCCAGTTTTGTGTGCCAATAGTTTGCAATAAGCAAAACTGCAGTTAATGCAATTTCGTATTTGTAATCTCTCTACATATCTTGTATTTTAAAATACAACTTTTTCCAGCTGCCAACACACTACATAAAAGAAAGAGGAATTTAAGGTATGAGGAAGTTACATCTTCTCATAAGACAGAAGTTCCACTTCTATCTCAATACCACATCACCAGCTAAAAAAATACACCATCAGATGAATACTGGTGGAAATTTATCTGGGAAGTAATGCATTTACTCCGGTGGTTTTCCTCTTTCCTTTCCCATTCTTTGCCTTAATATTTATGGAAG